CGCCTGACGGCGGCGGGCCGAGGCGGCGGTGCGCGCGCGGTTCCCGCGGCGCCCGCGGCGGGGGGCGGCGCGGCGGCGAAGAAGGGCACGACTGCGGCGAAGAGCGCGGCGGCTCCGAGGCAGGGGCCGCCTTGGGGCCTGGGCAGCCGCATTAGTCGGGCAGTGTCAAGGCCGATGGCCACTTCCTGTGGTGTCTCTGGACCGCCTCGTTTCGGAAATCGAGGGTCGAGGAGGACGAGGAGGACGAGGAGGACGAGGAGGAGGAGGAGGAGGAGGAGGAGGCATGATCGAGGATCGAGGAGATTTCGGCGTCCTAGGGCGTTTTCGGGAGTCCTGGGGAGGGGTTGTGTGGGATCCAGGGGGGGCCCGTTTTCTGGAGGAGATGGCGACCGCATGTCGGACCAATGTCAATCGCTTGGCACCAATTCTTGAACCGGGTTGTTTCTCCACCGGGCAAAATACCAAATTTGACCAAATACAAGCAACCATCTTGAGTCGTCCAATCGGTTTTGTGTGTGTAGTAGTTTAAGACGGTTCATATATCAAATGCACGTCTTAAGAGTATACAGTCATTCTGGCAGACAACATGCGTGCCAGGGTGTTGCTTTCTGACATCTGGGAGTTGTGTTGTGTTGAAACCGAGCAGTGGTCGCCAATCTCAATTGTGGTCACGGCCGGCGTCGGCGCGAGCGGATTCTTGACACTAGGTTACACCAGGTCAATTCTGAACTTCAGGTTCCATCCGTGTTCAATCATTGAAGCAGTTCCAATGGTTCAATAATTCAGCAACCCCAAACCCATTTATCTAATTCTGGTTCTGCCCCCTCGTTCATCTTGCGTGTAATTCCAGACCCCTTTCCATGTCAAGTAACATTATGCGCGCACACTCGTTTATTTCAATTTATATTTTGCACGAGCCCATTGCAAAAGCAGGCACAAAGCTCACACGCACGCGCACATGCCGGAATCCTACCAATCACATGCTTTTAACAATAATTTCAACATAAAACGTAAAACGCATCCCTTGAGTTTTTTCATCGCAGATCTTGCAACCTTTCTGCCCTTGCGTACTTGCCGAGATCATTGGAAAGCCATCTGGTTTAAGCAATGTCTTTTAGACACCGCAGTTTCACCACACCACGTGGTGCATCCGCGTTGATCCAGCATGCGCCGAGTGCGCGACCCCGACCCCCTATCGAATAACACCATGCGGGCCACTTGCGCGCGTCCGCCGCGCGTGCATGTCGAAATCGTTCCAACACTTGAGTTTTCGAAAGAATTGCAACATCGAGATCTTCAAGCGCGTCTGACAAAAGAAGCAATGGTTTACCAAGAAAACAATTGCCAGGGCCATTGGATGTCCGCGCGGGTTCTCCCTCATCATTACCGTTTTCAGCGCCGCTGCATCATGCCATCGTCGTCGACAATCACCGCAATTCTCACAATCATCACTCAAGCACCTTCATCATTGACACATGGATATGATTATCGTCATCGGCTTTGCCAGCATCTGCGCCGTCAATTGCCTTGATGTGGCCATCGTCACCATCGCCACCACTCTCGCTACCACCATCCTCGTTGCCGCCGTTGTCGACGTCATCATGACACCGCGTGCGCCCGAGCCACCGACCCGCATTGAAGTGACCGCACGCCAGCGCAACCTTTGATACGCGCAGGGAAGTTCCCGTCGGTAAGCGCCATCGCGGCCGCATCGGCTGCGCGAAACCAGCCTGCCGCTCTGCGCGCGAGCTTGCGCGTGCTAGCGCGGCCGCAAAGATGCGCCAGCCATGGCCAAGCAGTCTTCGCAATCGCCGCCGCATGGGTTTTTCAAACCAAACTGCGGGGGGGAAGGGTGGGATGGCTCCTGGAGCAGTGAGGATGACAATTCCAAATTCTCCCAAACTAATTTCTTTCCTTCGGATGCACCTTCTGGGAGGTCGAATTCAGCATCGGTGCTGGTATATAAGTGGTTGAAGTTGGTTTTATTTGGTATGCTCCCGTTTAGTTCCACTCGTTCCCGTTCAATACGGTTCATTCCCGCTTGTACACCTGGGCTTAATTTGGGTTTGTCCGGCTTAATGCCCATGTAGCGGGGCTTAATCTCTGAATCGTTCTTACGGCTGCGCCCCTGAGGGCAAAACCGAGCCGAACCTCCGTGCTCGCTGATCTGATTTTTTGGAAGGTCCTGTCGCCTAATGTGTCCGATGCAGAGACATACTGTTTGCCAGCGAGTTGTCAGAAGGAACAAATATCGATACCGCTGCCCGCCCTGGAGAGCTCTCGTCCCCACAGCTGGATTATCTTCGAAATCTTTGTCAGAACGCAGCCCAAGAGCTTTTGGCAGGAACGGTATCGGTATTTTTCGGTTTCACCCCCTCCTCCGTGTCGTTCGTCGGGCTCTTTCGGATCCCACGGCCCACGCGGGATCAGACTGTCAATCTCGACGTAATCCGCAGGGGCCTGTACACCCAAAGGGGTCCGACCTCACGATCGAGGCAGTCCCCCAGCGTCGATCTTGTAGCCTTGCAGTCGATGTAACAGAAATCCTTCGGACCTCACGCACGCCCTGCTCGATTCGATCCCTTCGTGGCACCCTTCGCCTCCCGGGCCTCCGAGCCCGTGGCGCCTTTTCCGGGCCTCCTGCGTCCTCGCCCCGCTCGAAGGCCCTGTGTGGCCCCCCCTGCCAGGCGCCCTCTCGGCCGCCTGGCCCAAGCTCGTTCCGGCTCCCCCTCGGGCCTCCAGCTCTTCATGGTGTCCTTCCGCCCTGCCCCGCTCCGCCCCGCCCCGCCTTGCCCCGCCCCGCTCCGCTCCGCTCCGCTCCGCTCCGCTCCGCTCCGCTCCGCTCCGCTCTGTTCCGCTCGCGCCGCCCGGGACGCCCGCTCACGCGGGCCTCCTCCCCTGCGCGCGCCGGCGCGCGCGGCGCGAGCGGGGGGCTCGCGGGCCTGCCGCAGGCGACAGCGGCACGACTCCGACTCGGACCTGTCGCCGCCGAGGACGCGAGGGAGGGGGGGGGGGGTGGGACCTCCATCGGGCGAAGAGAGCTGAGCACATACACTGGTCCTGTCCCGGCCCACCCTGGTCTCAGGATCGGTGCGTATGCCTCCCTGGCCAACCAGGATCGCGTATGTGCCGATCCTGTGCTCTGGGTGGGCCTGGCCAGGATCGGTGTACGTACACAGATCTATTTCTTCTACTTCACATCGCGGCAGGCGTTTCTGCTCCGTCCTTGGCCGTTGGGGCCCCTCGCGGATCGATCTGGCTCGAGGGAGGCCAGAGGATAGAGGGGTCGGCATCCCTGGCTTTGTTTCTGATGACGTTCTGTGTTCTTCCCAGCCCTTCTGTGTTATTAGATCCTCGTTTCGAATCTGCAGCGCCACGAGTCTCGTCCTCCTTCCTCTCCCCCTCCCTCCTCCTCCTCCTTCTCCTCCTCCTCATCGGGCACGTTTCATGCCCCGTGAGGAGCTCCACATACGGCCTCCGTGAGTGCGATCGCATGCACAAGCTATGTGCGTGGTGTGAGCTCCGTGGCGGCAACGAGGAGGCGACGGGGGGCAACGTGGCGAAACCTCGCTGCACCCACCCAGCGCACGAGGCGGCCATGATGTGGCCACGGGCTGCCACGTGGCGAAACTTCGCCGGACCCATCCAGCGCACGAGGTGGCAACGAGGCGGCCTAGGGCGGCAACGTGGCGAAACCTCGTCGGACCCACCCAGCGCACGAGGCGGCCACGAGGCGGCCACGGGCGGCAACGTGGCAGAACCTCCCCGAACCAACTCAGCGTACGAGGCGGCCACGAGGCGGCCACGGGCGGCAACGTGGCGAATCCTCGTCGGACCCACCCAGCGCATGAGGCGGCCACGGGCGGCAACGTGTCTAAACCTTGCTTTGGCCGACGCAGCGCACGAGGCTGTCATGAGGCGGCCACGGGCGGCAACGTGGCGAAACCTCGCCAGAACAATCCAACTCACTAGTGTCATTCGGAAAAACCCCCAAGTGTAAGCCCTGTTAGGTGTCAGCACCAGTTGGCATTACTTACGCAGGACGAAAGATTTTCCTCTTGAGGTGAAAACGGCCATGAGGAGTTCGCGAGACAACGTCGGCGCCGCCGAACGGACGGTTACCGGACGAGCTGTTTGCAGCAACCCGGGGGAGAGGGATGTGTGCATTCATGTTGAATGGGGCCCGCTCGCGCGGGGAGTTGATGGAAGTGCGCGAAACGACGCAGGGCCCATCGTGGAAAATTGATTACCGAACCCCCCTCCCCCATAGAATCTTAACACGGGCGGTTTGCGGGGTCCGCGGATCCGATTTCTTTCGGTTCCCTGGTTAAATTTAATCATAATGAATTTAAAAACAGGGTAGAAGTCGGATCCGCCGTACAAAATATGACTGGACACGGATCCAGCTAATCCGAAACCGGATCCGTACGGACGAAAATCGGATCCACCGAAACAAACACCAAAACCACATTTTGATCCGCGCAAATTTCATGGGATCCGACGGCGGTTATCTCATACGGGTCTGCTCAAGGCTTCACACCGTCGTTCTGGGCCCAAGAGGAAACAACTTTCGTCCTGGGGATGTATGATGCGCAAGACAGCCTTGTTTTAAATGTTGGTCGTATGTGTAGTTGACGTATGAATACTGGAAGTTGGCGTAGTCGTAGTCGTGATCGTAGTGATAGTCGTTGTTCTAGTCATAGTCGTAACAGTAGTTCTGTTACCATAGTCCGTATGCTCGTTTGTGCCATGCGAGTTTTTAATTTCTGTTGTAGTGCTATTGGTAGTATCAATTTTGAATTGCATTCGTTTTTTCCCCAACCCTCCTTGGTTGGGTATTGTTTTTGAATAGGGCACTGCTGTCGCGTCCTTCTTCTCCTCCTCCCGCCTCCCGCCTCCTGCCTCCCGCCTCCTGTCTCCGGCGAGACCTCGCCGTCCCTGTGTGTGAGAGAGAGAGAGTGCTGCGATCTGCGAAATTGTCGCCAATTTCGAGGGCTGCTGGTGGGTCTAGCGGAGTGAGGCGCCGCGCGGATCTGAGCGGTAGCTCGCCGTCCCTGGGGGGCTGCGATCTGCGAAACTGTCGCCACTTCCGAGGGCTGCTGGTGGGTGCGGCGGAGTGGGGCACCGCGCGGATCTGAGCGGTAGGTCGCCGTCCCTGGCGGGCTGCGATCTGGGAAACTGTCGCCACTTTCGAGGGTTGCTGGTGGGTCCAGCGGAGTGAAGCACTGCGCGGATCTGAGCGGTAGGTCGCCGTCCCTGGGGGGGGGTGCGATCTGCAAAGCTGTCGCCACTTTCGATGGCTGCTGGTGGGTCCAGCGGAGTGAGGCACCGCGCGGATATGATCGGTAGGTCGTCGTCCCTGGGGGGCTGCGATCTGAGAAATTGTCGCCACTTTCGAAGGCTGCTGGTGGGTCCAGCGGAGAGAGGCGCCGCGCGGATCTGAGCGGTAGCTCGCCGTCCCCGGGGGCTGCGATCTGGGAAGCTGTCGCCACCTCCGAGGGCTGCTGGTGGGTGCGGCGGAGTGGGCACCCCCAGCGCACCCCCTTGTGGCGTCGAGGAAATGCCACGCCTGCCACGCCCTGGGAGCCTGCAGCGCATAGGGCCCCCACCCCCAGCGCACCCCCTGTGGCGTCGAGGAAATGCCACGCCTGCCACGCCCTGGGAGTCTGCAGCGCATAGGGCCCCCACCCCCAGCGCACCCCTTGTGGCGTCGAGGAATTGCCACGCTTGCCACGCCCTGGGAGCCTGCAGCGCATAGGACCCCCACCCCCAGCGCACCCCCTGTGGCGTCGAGGAAATGCCACGCCTGCCACGCCTTGGGAGCCTGCGGCGCATAGGGCCCCCCCCCCAGCGCACCCCTTGTGGCGCCGAGGAAATGCCACGCCTGTCACGCCCTGGAAACCTGCAGCGCATAAGGCCCCCACCCCAGCGCACCCCTTGTGGCGCCGAGGAAATGCCACGCCTGCCGCCGTGGGAGCCTGCAGCGCGGTCCCCCCCCCCCAGCGCACCCCTTGTGGCGTCGAGGAATTGCCACCTTGCCACGCCTGCCCTGCAGCGCTAGGGCCCCCACCCCCGCGCACAGTGTGCGTCGAATGCCGCCTGCCACCTCTGCAGCCTGCACGCATAGGACCCCCACCCCCAGCGCACCCCCTGTGGCGTCGAGGAAATGCCACGCCTGCCACGCCCTGGGGCCTGCAGCGCATAGGGCCCCCACCCCCAGCGCACCCCCTGTGACGTCGAGGAAATGCCACGCCTGCCACGCCCTGGGAGCCTGCAGCGCATAGGGCCCCCACCCCCAACGCACCCCGTGTGGCGTCGAGGAAATGCCACGCCTGCCACGCCCTGGGGGCCTGCAGCGCCTGCGAGCCTGCAGCGCATAGGACCCACACCCCCAGCGCACCCCCTGTGGCGTCGAGGAAATTCAATGCCTGCCACGCCCTGGGTGCCTGCAGCGCATAGGTCCCCCACCCCCAACGCACCCCGTGTGGCGTCGAGGAAATGCAACGCCTGCCACGCCCTGGGAGCATGCAGCGCATATGCCCCTCATCCCCAGCGCAACCCCCACCCCCAGCGCACCCCCTGTGGCGTCGAGGAAATGCCACGCCTGCCACGCCCTGGAGCCTGCAGCGCATAGGGCCCCCACCCCCAGCGCACCCCCTGTGGCGTCGAGGAAATGCCACGCCTGCCACGCCCTGGAGCCTGCAGCGCATAGGGCCCCCCCCCAGCGCACCCCTTGTGGCGTCGAGGAAATGCCACGCCTGCCACGCCCTGGGAGCCTGCAGCGCATAGGGCCCCCACCCCCAGCGCACCCCTGTGGCGTCGAGGAAATGCCACGCCTGCCACGCCCTGGGAGCCTGCAGCGCATAGGGCCCCACCCCCAGCGCGCCCCCTGTGGCGTCGAGGAAATGCCACGCCTGCCACGCCCTGCGAGCCTGCAGCGCATAGGGCCCCACCCCCAGCGCACCCCCTGTGGCGTCGAGGAACTGCCACGCCTGCCACGCCGTGCGAGCTTGCAGCGCATAGCACCCACCCCGCTACGCCTGCCACGTCCTGGGAGCCTGCAGCGCATAGGGCCCCCACCCCCAGCACACCCACTGTGGCGCCGAGGAAATGCCACGCCTGTCACGCCGTGGGAGCCTGCAGCGCATCGGGCCCCCACCCCCAGCGCACCCCCTGTGGCGCCGAGGAAACGCCACGCCTGCCACGCCCTGGGAGCCTGCAGCGCATAGCCCCCCCCCACCCCCAGCGCACCCCCTGTGGCGTCGAGGAAATGCAACGCCTGCCACGCCCTGCGAGCCTGCAGCGCATAGGACCCCCACCCCCAGCGCACCCCCTGTGGCGTCGAGGAAATGCCACGCCTGCCACGCCCTGGGAGCCTGCAGCGCATAGGACCCCCACCCCCAGCGCACCCCCTGTGACGTCGAGGAAATGCCACGCCTGCCACGCCCTGGGAGCCTGCAGCGCATAGGGCCCCCACCCCCAACGCACCCCGTGTGGCGT